TATTTAACCCAGCACTGTGACACTAAAGAAATAGTGAATCCACACCCCCCACCCGCCACAAACCGCGGGGAGGTGGCTGGGGAATTCTGGGAGTTGAAGTCCACGCGTCTTAAAGTGGCCAAGGTTGAGAAACATCGCAGTAAGATAGTTTCTACTGCACTGTTACTGACAAAGCCCTCCTAACGTCCTGGGTACAGAAGCATGTAGCTTCCCAGTCCCTGAAATGAATGCATTATTCCCTCCACCCCGATATGCCACAGAATTTTGACCTTGTTAAAAAGAGGGGGATCAGCACATCTCTTTCTCACTGTACAGCAATCAGAATTTGCAACAGCGGGGGAAAGGCTGATCGCCTGGTGGTCTCTCATCCAGGAGCTCTCCACCCCAATCCCACTTAACTTTCACGTGCAAGTTTGGATGAGGCCAAGCTATTTATTTATTTCTAGATCTCTCTCACCCACAGACATGCAAACAGTAACAAGCATCTGGGGGAGAGGGGCGGCATACGAATTTAATAAATCGATAAATATTCAGAAAACGTCCTCAAACAGAAGCAGCCCAGACAGAACCCGCGAGGCCTGGAAGAGCAGCAGAGGGGAGAGGCCTGGTGTGATTCCTGCGCACCTTTTGATCCGAACTCTCGGGGGTCAGGAAGAAGTGGTGGAGAGGGACGAAATAGCCTTCGAGAAGCCCCATCAGTAACACCAAGTACACGCCGTCTGCAAACTGAGGAGAAGGGCCAGAAATGAAGACGAGAACAAGCCCAACCAGCGTCCGGGGCAGCTGGACCTCGCTGGGCTGAAGATCTTCCATGCCAACATGCCCGACAGCCCTTTCAGGGGTATTTGGGGCAGGCTGCCTCTGGGCAGAATATTAAACCGTTTCGGGTATTAATTTGCAGTTAAGGAGGATAACGTTAAAGGAGGTCTAGAAGAACCGCCCAAGCCTTTCCAGGGGGCCCAGGAATCGATCGATTCCCATCAAGTTTCAACGGGCATCCAGCTGTGGGAAGCAAAGCCTCCTCGCCTTGCCCATCAGCTGGCAGAGACGGAGGACCGCAACGGTGCCTGCTTTACGCTATCGTGAGAAATACCACATATAAATTAAACTGCAGGCTTGTCTTCCCTAGGAAAACGGCTTCCGTTCTTTTTTTTATTATTTTTTGCAGAAAGCAAAGCAACGCTTAGTTGCAAAATGGAAACACCTCCCCTGAAAATCTCCCATCAATATTTGGGGGCATAAGCGACACAATAAGCGGATTGCCAAAACAGGCTTTTATGACTGGCCCAGATACCCGGAGTGTAAACGTGCCAGTTTGTTCCTGAACGTCTCTTACCTGGGTTTCTAATTCCGTCACCTCCAAGTTCAGCTTGTTTAAGTGCTTGTTTACGAAGGTGATCAAGGACTGAAAAGGGGGGGAAATACGGTGGTCAGAGAAATAATGCACAACCCATATTCAAATTCTTTAAAAAACAGCAACAGAATCTAACTGCTTGGAATTCAAAGCGGCGTTCAAGTCTTCCGTGCATGTGGTAGGACTTTGTGCCAATGGCACCCACAAGTTCTCACAGCTTTTATTAGAACAGTGCTTCTCAACCTCAGCAACTTGAAGATGTGTGGACTTCAACTCCCAGAATTCCCCCAGCCAGCACGCTGGCTGGGGGAATTCTGGGAGTTGAAGTCCACACATCTTCAAGTTGCTGAGGTTGAGAAGCACTGTATTAGAAGGAGCATAAGCTACATCCCATTTACCTGCAACCCAGGGATGCATGTGGAAAAGAAGCAAGGCTCATGCCATGACCCCATAATGCTACTGGCATCACTCAGCCCCTCCTCTCTTGCAGACACCCTAGTCTTGTACAAATTCGTAATATTTGGAATTTAGGGGAACTGGGACCAATTTCCCACACCTGCCCAAGAAGCCTAACAATATTCCCCAGGCTTATTCTCGTGAACAGATGTAGCACTGAGGAGAGGGTCCCCCTCAAGTGGAGCTCAACCCTGGGTAACGACGATTCTGCGAAAAATAATTCACCTCTTTTGGATTTCCTTCTTTGCAGATCTGCCATGGCACGTTAAATAAAGACAGAAATTGATGAGGGCCTATTGGCCAGTCCTCTAAGCTGCCTTGATGTTTTCCTATCAAGAGCCTTATTTCCCAGGGGACAGAATGGGCAAAGTCAAAGGAAGCAGCAGGGGCACCAGAGACGAAAATGACCTCGGGTCCATCTTCTTTTCCAGAGATTGTTATTCTTCCCCCTCCCTCTCTTTTCTTTTCTCTGTCCAAGTAGCAAGCTAAGGGGATGGGATACAGAGTCCTTAGCAAACGTCGATTGCAATGTTTCTCAACTTTAGCAACTTTAAGCTATGTGGACTTCAACTCCCAGAATTCCCCAGCCAGGCTGGCTGGGGAATTCTGGGAGTTGAA